TTGTTTATCGTGACATGAAGCGCAAAAAAAACTCAAGAACCCATGCTGGAAAACACAAAGGTTTTCTGCCATTTTGGTTCAAAGCCTTTTAACCATCAGACATCCCTCACAATGATTTGTCAAAATGTTACGACATTCGAACTCCATATAGTATATTACACAGCTAGTCTCAATGAATGTGCGAGTCACTTTTGTGAGGCGTAATGAGAACAAAGACTTGCATTTTGTGGGACTTATTTTGTTGGTTCAACCATCCATCCATCCATTTTCCAATCCGTTTTCTCACAAGGATCGCGGGGGGTGCTGGAGCCTATCCCAGCTGTCTTCGGGACACCCTGAACTGGTTCCCAGCCAATCGCATGCATAGACAAACAACCCTTCGCACTAACATTCACACCTATGGACACTTTGGCGTGCCAAATCAACCTGAAATGCATTTTTTTTTTGGAATGTGGGAGAAAACCCAGAGTACCCGGAGAAAACCCACACGGGAATTCCGGAGCCGGAATCGAACCCTGTACCTCTGCACTGTGAGGCAGACGTGCTACACAGGTACCACCACCGTGCCACCTGGTTAAACCAGAAAAGTAGAAATGACTATTATTCTTGGAGAAATTTTCTCGCATGAATAGATGAAACGCTCATTCCTGCTTTCACCTCAAACAAAGCGAATCTTTGCTCATAAACTGGTCTAATTAAGAGCTACTTTACTTCAGCGGGATTACATTAAAGGCAGCAACAACAACAACAGGAGAAAAAGAGTGAGCCAGCCGCCTGCACGAGTATACAAAGGGACTTCCCTTTTTTTTTTTTCACCAAAGTAATGTGTCGCATTAATTCAGACAAATTCATGCAATCGAGTTCCCCTAATAAAACTGTCGAGTTTACAGTGGCCATATTTATTCCTGTCCCAAGCGTTCTGACTTATGGTTGCTGAATAATGTAAGGGGGGCTTATGTGATTTTACATGATCATTGTTATTATTGGTCATTTTTAAATGTATTTTCCTAACATTTACTGATATATTCTATAAATATTGTATTATCTCTTATATAACTTTAATTAAAAAAAAACATTTTTTTTTCTTTTCAACACATAAAATACAATTTCACCCGAAATAAATAATGCATCCATCCATTTTCAACACTGCTTATCCTGAACAGGGTCACGGGGGACTTGCTGGAGCCTATCCCCAGCTGACTTCGGGCGGAAGGCAGACAACACCCTGAACTGATCGCAGGGCAGATATAGAGACAAACACCAACCATTCACACCTGATCCCATGCTGCCCGCACATAAGTCAGGTAAGTGTACCACTACACCATCAGCAACTATCTGTCTGTACACACTCACACACACACACACAAACACACACACAATAAAGCAATGCAGAGAGCCTCATAGGAGGTTTGGTGGTTCCAACCGTAAGAACTCAAATTCAAACCTGACTTCTGTGCTGTATGTGAGCATATAAAGCACATCAAATAAAAGAGATGATTTTCCCTCCAGTGAACTACACAAAACAAACTGACGTTGAAAAGAGGTGTTTGCCGACAAGTTGTACAATCATACCTATCTGATGTGAGGATGATGATGATGCGGATAGAGGATTATCGTATGTGCGGCGAGTGCAGTGGAGTTGAGGCGTAAGCAACAGCGGCGTTTGTAAACATTTCTGCAGGTCTTGACACGCGGGCTTGAGTGTACATACAGTAGTCGAGTGTTTGGGCAAGAGATAACAAAGCACAGGCTGACAAATATTTGCGAGGTAAAATTTCTTTCAGGAGCTTGGATTTAGTCTCGGCTGGTTTCAGATAAAACACTTGTGATTTTGTTTCAATTGGGAAAAGATATAAATAAAGATGTCTTGTATTTTAGAATTCCCTCGTATAAATAACAAAAAGGTGAGCACTGGAGTTCACCCGCCGCCAAAAAAAATGTCTATTTTAAAATGTCTGTCTTCCTGTTTATGTCCGGCATTGATTCATGAGATTTTTAACATCCTGTTGTTTTCAACTAATTTCATGTAATTGAAGAAATTGGTGTCCAGGATGTGTTTTTTTTTTTTTTTTTTTTTTTTTGTTTCTGACAATCGCCAAGTGATCGGCAATAGTTGCTTTCGGTGACAATTTTGTGCGTGCTGTTACCATAGACGTGTCCACCAAATTTTGTATCAATCAGTAAAACTGGTGTCAGGGGCTGATTTATTTTTATTGATTTATAGATATATATATATATATATATATATATATATATATATAGATATATAGATATATAGATATATAGATAATTTTTTTTCAACAGAAAAACATGGATTAAGATGTATTACATTGTATAAATCAACCAGAGTTGCAGGTTGTGTTCTGCTTCGGAAGTTCCATTGGAGTGTTTTCATTTTTATCCGCCAGGAGTTGCACACTCCTCCTCCTTCTTGCTCGCTGCCGGATCTTTTTTAATGTCAGTGATCATCATCATGGTCTGACTGCGTTTTATTTTTCTGACCTTTGAGAGGCACATGTGACGTGAGACGGTTTTTTTTTTCCTTTCGCTGCCCTTGAAAAGCATGAGCCATGTCCTCTTAAAGTTTGCTGAATCGAACTCTGAAAATGCTCTTTTGAGGCCTGAATACCATCTGCTGGCAAATCGTTGAAACTGCACCTGGAAGCTGATTATTGAACACGTCTGATACTTGCACTCAACTTTGAGAATCACTCCTCTAGATGGCTAAAAAGGTTTTTCGGAACAGGGTGACGTCTATCTTGAGAAACACAACATAGGAGCATAATAATTACGATTAAAAATGTGTCTGTGATCAAACAACATGTACAATTACAAAAAAATGACACCCAAGAACTTGTTCAAAACCCATTTTAACTGTAATATCTGTTTGTCATCAAGGGACATGAATTTTGCGACACCAACATTATATTTTCCATCTGGAGAATTATAACAACAACACGTGTGCGTTTGTATTTCGTGAATGGATTATTCAGAATTTAAAGGACATGGCAGAAAATGTAACTGTGCAAAGACCCAAATAATAATTTGAAGAAATCTTTCCGGCGATGAAGAAAATCCATCAAATGAAACCCGATATTGTAGCGTTCGCGACTGCGAAACAGTCGTTAACAGAGTAAATCACGCTTTAATTCTTCACGCCATCATGCTTTTATTTTGAAGCCAGATCTCCACCGGAAGCTACGTTTTGTTTATATTGAACGTAGTTTCCGGGTAGCGTGTGAACGCTTCGAAAACGGCATTTTTGTCACAGTTGTAGTTTCTTTTACTTAACTATACCCGCTAGCGACAAGATATATTTATCGAGAATAGATGTTGAGTTTGTCCATTTTGCTTTTCTTTGTGCTAAAATCGCGGCGCAGGCTGCTAGCCCGTCACAATGTTAGCCAACATGGCGGATTGATTGATTGATAATGACAGGTGTGCGATATCTGGGTCGAATCTCAAGTATGTGACGTCAATTATTTGTGTGTGTGTGTGTGCATATTTGTCGAATTTGTATCATTCATCCCGTTGTTAGTCGGCTATGAAACGCTTGCTGACATGAGCTAAACTTTGAGCGTGTGTGTGAAAGATAAGGTGCGTATGCGCCCGCGTCATGCACCTGAGTCGTCTTCTGGTGGGCTTCACTTCGACTTGTTCAAGAAGTCTTTTGGCACACCAGCGTTTGGTTCGAAATGCACAAACGACGATAAAAACACGCCAGGTAAAAGAAAAAAAATACGAGATTAAAGTTGTAAAGTTTCAAAAGAAATGAAGTTGTCTGTTTTTTCGATTCAAGTTAGTTTGGTCAAGAAAAAGTTGTTTTCGAGAAAAAAAAAAGTCCAGTACTTTTGAGATTTAAAAAAAGTCCAGTATAAGATTGAAGTACACAATCACATGACAACTGTCTGATAGTTTACCTTGGAATCAGAAACTGGTTCATCTCTGATTAAGACCATTATCTAAATTTCCCAAATGCATATTCTTCCTCGTTGGTTTATGACTTCAATCTTGTGTAATTCGTTTCAGTGTTTTTAAACCCTCACTGTTGCTATTCAATACTTTGCCACTATTTAGTTTGCTTTGTTTCCAGACCTCAGGTCTGTGTCAGGTCACCATGAGCAAGATTGAGCCTGATAGCATCTTTCAGAGCAAGGAGACCTCAGATGATGCTTCCCTTGATGAGTGTTTTCATAATAGTACTAATCATGGAGAAAAAGAGGATGGTGCTTTGGGAGATGAGCTTGGTCTCCAGGGGCCTTCTGAACCAAAGAACTTGAAGGAGACTCAAGACCATGAGAAGAAGACTCAAGGCCATGAGAGTGGGGAGAGTGGCGCGTCCAAAAAGTCGGGTCAGTCATTTTCAAACTTCAGCCCAGAGCAAGGAACTTATCATCATCCTCATACTTCCGTCGTCCCAACGTTCAATCTTTCTTCAAATGTTCCCTAATCTGGGATTAAATTTACTGCCGTCATTATACTTGAATGTGAGATGTATTTTTCTTTCTTAAGTCACCAAGCAAGAGTCGGGCAAGAAGAACAGGAAGAGGGGACGACGAGTGGACAGTGAGCAAGATGCAGAGAAGACCAAAAAAAAGAAGAAGCAGACCCTGCGACCCAATTACTTTGTCTCCATCCCGATCACCAACACACAGGTACACTTGAAACCGTGAAATTTATGGTATTTTTCAACAAAGCCGAGGACATTTCACGTTGACATCACATGTCGTTCTCGGTGGCAAATGCCTTCAACTTATTTTCTGATAGCACCTCTTGTAAACAAATAATTTCACCAAGGCACAGGGATTCCTTTCTGACAGGTAGCAGGTGAGCTGGGGCTATGTGGCGTGGCCACTTTAGAGCGCCTCGTTGTCACCCGTGCGTGCATTCATTTTCCAGGAGGTAGAAGTGTTACTTGATTGACAGTTAACAACCGAGCAAGGCGCTGGTTTTAGCGCATTCAGCAGACAGAACAGTTAGACTTTTCACAATTTTGAAGGGTCGTTTTATCCACTTGCTTTGCTGAATTATATATATTTTTTTTAATCATACAGATTGGGCAGGGTTGTTAACAACACTCTGTCAAAATTAGAAAAAGGCGTTTTATCCACTTGCTTTGCTGAATTATAATTTTTTTTTTTTTAATCATACAGATTTGGCAGGGTTGTTAACAACACCCTTTCAAAATTAGAAAAAGGCGACTTTAAGAGAATTTACAAAATAACTTTTAAGGTTACATTCTGATGGCGCGACCCCACACATTTTCTGTCATCGTTTTAGTTGAAGTCAGCAGAAGTATCCTTGTGGCAAATAACATAGCGAGTCACATGCAAACATAATTAAATGTCCTATTTAGACAACCTCCTCGATTCTTTTGTTGAAAATGTCCTGTTATACAGATCAGTTCAGCGGTGACAGAGGTCCAAGAGGCGGTTCTGGAACGGGAGCCTCGCTTGGCCAAAGCCATGATCCCAGTCCCGACGCTCCACATCACGCTCCTCGTCACCCATCTGGCCGACCAAGAGCAAGTGGACCTGTAAGTTGAGCATGATTTGTCTTGAGGAAATTCGAATCGGCAGTTGTTGTTGTCCTTGTGTCATTTCCATGGCAACCAGGAGCCTATCCCAGTTGCTTTCGGGCAGTAGGGCGGGTGTACACCCTGAACTGGTTGCCAGCCAATTGCAGTGCACAGCCACGAAAAACCATTCACGCTCACAATAACACCTCAGGACGATTTAGAGCAGGGGTGCATGCACAACTTTTGCGATGATGAGCGACAGCCACGGACGGCCCCTAACATGAACGAAACAGAAAAAATAAAATTTGATGTCAAAGTTTGTGAAAAGGTAATCACTGCCTCCATTAGCATCCCATGCAGAGGCATAGGATGCACTTTTGCAGAGTGCTAAGTGCACAAACATGACTATCGTAGCTCACGTGTACCGTTTTAAAATGCTTCTCCTGGTGCTCCGGATTCCCATTCTTTGTCAGTGCCATCAGTGAATTGCAGATGAAACAAACATGGAATAAGAATAATCATAATTTAAAAAAAAATATCGGAACAGCTCTGATCACAAGTTGCAGACTGCTGACCACTAACATCTTCCGGTGAAGCAGGTCACGGCGCCACCGTAAGTTAAAGGTGACCTGCTTTTTTTGTTTTCTTTTATTTTTGGAATACTTTTTCTTTGTGTGTGTGTGAAAGTGAAACTGATAGGATGCCTAGGGTGCATTATATAATATTAATAACATGCACACGGACACACAAATCAATAAAAGGCATTGAACAACAAATGCTGATCACATACTGTTCCATGGAAGTCATTCCATGCAATAATGACTGTGGAGGGGTTGAAATCAGAAGTTTTGGGCAATTCTAAGTTCAACGATGGCTCTAAACGATTACTAGATTATTAACAGTGGTGGATTAATTTGATCATCTATTGTTTTTCGATTAATCAAGTAAGATTGACACTTCTAATAGCAACTACCTATATTTGAGTCATATCTCCGCAACGTAGTGCATGTACAAATGGATTGTTCATCATTTGCTTCATTAATGTAACAAAACGTTATTTGGTGGCTTTGAATGAAAATAGCAGCTATTAAAAATCATCATAAATATCAACAATTTATGTTGAAAAGTAGCTGACATTTTAAGAAGAAGAAGAATGGCAAAGAGTGTCACTCAGAGGTCAAATGCATGAAAAAATACGAATGGATTATAAATCCGATGTTGTCATATGTTGTTGTCAGATAAAAGCCATGTTATGACATGCTTAATCTACACTAAGTAGAAGATGGCGACACGAGTAATCACTACATTCTGCCATGATGTAACATGAGAGGGAGGCAGAGTGAGGATTTGTGTGTGATTTTTTTATTTATTTATTTTTTTCTGTGCGTGCGCGTGCGCGTTTTGTTTTTCCCCGTCAGGGCGGCGGCAGCGCTGGCCCAGGTGGAGTCGTCATTGGCCGAGCTGCTGGACGGGGCGGAGCTGGTGCTGCCCTTCACGGGCGTCGCTCACTTCAGAAACGACGTGGTGTTTGTCGCCCTCGGCCCGGGACCGCACAGACGCGTGCTGCGCAACCTGGCAGGTCAGTTACACACACACACACTTAACAAGATCTCGATTACTCCTGTTGTGGATGTGCGCCGCGTCATACTGAGAGCCGTTGTCTGCCAACTTGCGGTTTGTGGGCATTGTATTCAGCATAGTCATTTGATTGACAGCTAATCCATTTTCAATTGACAGCTAATTAATTGCCAGTCAAATTGTAAATTATTTTTGATGAGCAACTAATTGTTTGGATGCCTTTTCTTGAAGTGATAATTTTCCAAATGTTCAGTTTGTCAACTGTAGATATGATCTCATTCCTATCGTCTTCCATGATGGCAGCCTGATTGTGTTTTTCTCCAATCAAAATAAAACGTCTGCTTTGATTCAAGAAAGCAATGATTGATGAATGATCATTCATATCCTGGCATATGATGGACAAAACCAGTAACTGAATTCAAATTCAATTTTGGGCATTTTTTTTTTGCACTGTGAATTTGAAGTAATGTCCTATTTTTGAATAAAATCATGTTAATTTTTTTTTTTTTATCTGATTAATTGACCACATCATCGACAATTGATTGATTATTTAAATAATTGTTAGTTCCAGCCAATGAACAAATATTAAATTACATTTTTTGATTTTTAATATTTTAAATTTTTAAGAATTTACCAATGTACTATTTATGAAATATATATTCCATGTATTATTATTATTAAAAAGTTTATCTCCTTTTTTTTTTTTACCGTGTGTTCACATTATATATTCCAAAGCCTTTGCATGTTTTTTCCCCTGTTCTGCCTTTGGCTCATAATATTAAGCAGGATTTTTTTTTTTTTTTTTTTTAAGAGGATTGATCCTCCTCCATTGGCCCAAAGCATCAAAGCTCGCATGCCAAGTACTCCGGCCCACCTTATTTGACACCCGTTTGTGGCTGGAATGCAAGTATGTTGCAGAGGCACACACGATGGCAACAGGAAGTAAGGAGCTTACTTGAAACTTGTTTTTAAACTACGAAAGCTGGACCGTAAATAAAGTCAGTTATTGGTCAGCCTGGGTAGGGAAGACAATTTCCTGTCGGGGATTTACCCAAAAAAAAAAACAGGCGCATGTATGCGAGTTAAATTTGAACAGGGATGTTTTCGATCTATTTATTTGTTGTTGTCAACAATAATTTGTAAAAAGCACATGTAGAAGCACAGGAGTACATACAGTTGTTACATTTGGTTGGTGGGTATGAAAAGTTGACACGGCCCATTCAAACGCCATAATTGTTGTGATGTCCAAAAAAATTTACAGCCACCATGGCATAACCGCCGGGTGCTGCTTTGAGCCTCTATTGTCGATGCGCTCAGGAGCATAATAAATCCCCAAGGGCAGTTCGAGCTATCACTCAACAATACACAGGTACTTAAACGTCCTCCCTGTGGCGTCTCTAATGACAGAAGCACAAGTCATTCCAAAAGATTCAACGAGAAAGCCCCGCCAACCCGGTGGACGTGCGAGGGAGTGTGTCTAAAAGTCAACCGTTGTTTTTTTTAAACACTGCAGGGCAGGAAGTTCAACCTCTCGCCACGCTGTCTGCCGCCTCCATCGCTGTTATTGATTCCGTTCTAACCTTGCACTCCCCTCCGCGAGCCGCTCTCCTTAAAATAACACCGCGTATCTTTGTGCAACGCCACTTTTTGTTTTTCTTGACTGCGTCCTTATCTGACTCGGGCATCCTGTGACGCGCCTCGTTCCACGTTCCGGCCACATCCTCATGTCATCAAGACCAATGTTCCCGTTTTGTTTTCACGTGTCGGACTGAGCGTGCACACAAACAATTCCATGTGCAGATGTGAGCAGCTGTCCTCTTGTCCAGAACCCGAGATCACCAAGTTAATTGTCACATTGCTTCAAAGGGTCATTAGCCACCACTCATCGAGGCTGCTGCTTCAAGAAAAGCCAAAGAAAAAGCAAAACCACTACCAGTGTCCAAACACTGACATGATTCGTGAATGTCGTAGAGTTCCTGCGCGGCTGTTTCAAGGAGCGAGGCCTTCTGGAAGGCGACACTCAAGGCTTCGAACCTCACCTCACCATTATGAAGCTGTCCAGAGCTCCAAAGCTCAGATCGCAGGTACGAGATGTGTTCCTACCCACAATGCATGAAAATCTGCAATCTCGACAGTTGTCGAAATATTTGGTGATAACTTCACCTCTTCCCGCAGGCTTTAAACATCTTAAAAATATTTCAAAGCGCTCGTTCTCACTTGCTCACATGCACATTTTTCCAAAGAAGAAGCCAAGCGTGCTTGCTTCAAGCTGTTAGTCAGTCCCAGTTGAAATTAACTGTCGAACCTGATCATGATCTTTTGTCTTGTGCCTGAAGGGTATCAAGCGTGTGGACCCTTCTCTCTACTCCAACTACAACGACAGGTAGGAACCCTTCACTTCAGGACGTGGCATTTGTTGCACTTGCACATGTAACATGATGAGAGCCAGTACAAAAAAAAACAAATCTTGAAGTGACTTGAAAATGAAAATAGTAACAGCTGGCAGTATCATTTTGTCCAGTCACCACCACCTCTCTTACAGTGTCAGCACTGCCTTCAATACAATTTTATATTTCATTTCATTTCGACTAGATGCATTTCTTTTTTTTTTCATGATTCTGATACTCTCTCAGCAATCACACCTAAGTTACCAAATGTGTTTCATTGCCTTATAAAAGCTCAGCTACTATAATATAGCACTCTTGCCTTGGGTTTCAAGACGTATTGTCGCAATAACGAATTAAATCTCGTTTTATTTATTTGAAAAACATGACCAAAAGTGCATTGCATTCCGATTGTGCAGGTTTTTCGGCGACCAGACACTGGAGCGTCTGGATCTTTGCTCCATGCTGAAAAGGAAGCAGCAGGACGGCTACTACCACACGGAGACGTCGCTGCAACTAGGTCAGAAGGCGATTGCACACACATCAGGAAAGTGGGAGGTGAAACGTCTAGCACTAAAGGTGCAATGCAACATACAGCCACTAGGGGGAACTGTCTGCTTGGAAACAAGTTGAGTCCTCCAACGCGGCAGGGCACATTCGTATTACACGTCATTTCTGCGCTAGATTCTTGTCTTGTCACATGAAACTTAAGAAGATTGTTTTAATTTCAGATTTTAGACAAAAAGGCTCTGCTCTAATCATATTTTTGTGGGGGTATAATAGCCCTGTTAAAAGGGCCAGTATTAGCACGGAAGTTTTCGGATATACCGTGGACCAAATTGTGGTCAGTGCACAGAGGCTTAAAAAAAAAGAAAACCACATTTGCCTCTCCAGACTATCAAGGCCTTGTGTTGTTTGCGCATGCTGCCAATCATGTGTCACAATAATTTGCAGACCACTGAGCTGTCAAGAAAAACATATCGGTGGAGGCGGATGATGCTCAGTCAGTGAAGGACGGAGCATAAAAGCGCTTGTGTTGTTCAACTACTTGTACTCATATACACAAGACGGGTTAGAAGTGTTGACGGAATAGTACTGCCATTCAATCCACTCTCTGGCTAAAACTTTGGGCGTAAGTCCGGTCTCAATTAAAACTCATTCAGTACCAGCCAATTCTAGACCTGAAAAAGTCTGAAAAGACGTTTAAAAACGTCTTTGGGAGTGAATGAGTTAAATGCACCCTATGCCGGTTACGCCTCATTTTCTTTTGAACATTAGTACAGAAATGTGTCTGAACATCACATCGGTAAAATCCCACCTGATGGACAAAATTATTTCCGCAGAAAATCGATGTATCATGCCCCCTCCCGATCTCTGCAAATGAGCGTCTGCTCGCGCAGGTGCACGGATGCTGCCACGAACACGGCTATTCATCGATTCCCTTCTCGCGGGTCAATCAACAGCGGTGACATTTTTGCGCGGACGAGCTGTGGAAGCGCTCGCCTGTTCTGCCAAGCTGAGAGACAGTGAGGTGATACGAGGCTGTTTGCGGCGCAAAGTTAAATGCGTAAAACGAGGACGGCTTAGCCAACGGCCGGACAAAAGAAGCATCTTATTGACGGCTAACAACAACATCGCCTATAATTATGTTGACATGAGGACTCAGTCCACATGGTGCGCTGACCGCAATACAATCAGTCTGTCTTTTCTATAAGTAAATCAAAGGGACCCAGGCAGCAATCAACATACCGACAACAGGAACAAAAGTCCAACGTCTCGGTAGGGTGTGGGATTAAATCATGAAGATGAGGAGCTCTGACTTGCTCTACTCATTGACGTGCAAAGTAAAGTGATGACATCGACGACATGAGGGGGCTCCGGTTAGGAAAGCAATGGGCTTTTTTTCCTCCCTGTCAGCAGATGGCACAGCGGCCATCGGCGGTAGCTCAGATATTTTGGCTCTCCTCGGCACAGCGGGTGTGTCGGAAATACGGAGGGGAGAATACGAGTGGGTCAGGGGTCGCCAACGTAGCCTCAGAGAACCACACGGGGTAGTCCGCGGGCTTGTTGTCAAAATAGCTCAGCAGTCAGATGGGCTAAATTAATTTGTGTGTGTGTTTGTGTGTTGCTATTCTAAAAAAAAAAAAACAATAATAATAATATTGCTATTAACTAGTGAGCCGTGTCTTTCTTGTCACTGTGATATTTCATTTTCAATCACACTTGCATTGGTGTGAATTCAGAACTGACAATGCAGTAGAGCACAGGTGTCAAAGTCAAGGCCCGGGGGCCAGATCTGGCCCGCCACACCATTTTATGTGGCCTGCAAAAGCAAGTCAATCATGTCAAGTTCCATGATGCTTGCTAAAGTCTGAACCAAAATTTCAAAGTGTCATATATAATCCACAATAACAGCCATTATTCTTGACTTCTGAGTGTAAAATTAATTTTCGATCAATTTGTTGTGCGCTGTGTATTTAATATATGTATGGGATTAAGGTTTCCCAAAATTTTTAATGGCCCTCCAAGGGAAACTGTAACTACAATGTGGCCCATGACAAAAACTAATTCGACACCCCTGCAGTAGAGGATGGGGGCTAGGCTAGCTCACCAAAAGTGAAGATTCGCTTCTGGCGAGGAATACATTTTTACCAAGAGGGAACGGAGGGCCGTTATAGCTAATTGGAAGGTGTGGCTTTTTTTTTTTCTTTTTGTCACTTCAATTCTGGAGTCGTCTATCGTTGCCTGAACACTTTTACTTCCAGTTTTTCTGTTGTGTACCTAGCGGCTGGGAAAAAGAAAAATGAAACCCCCCCAGTCCCCTCTCCTGAAATGTGTGATGAATATAAATAGCTGTTTTTTTTTTTTTTGTATCACTTGGATGAAGTGCACTTGAATCTGTGCAGCGGCAGCTCTGGCCAAATGGAAGGCATCTTCTCCAGGCAACGGGCGACCATTTGCTTGTGCCTGACAAATAGTCATTGAAAAAGCAAACCAGTGTGCCGACGTGCACTTGAACACACTGTCTGCTTTCAGCATACAAGGACTTCCTTAGCACCAGTACATCCTTCAACGCCTTTACTTTTTTTTTTGTTTTGTTTTTTTCTTTTGCTAGCATTCTTCTTCCTCCCACCATGAACTTACATCCTCTGCCAAGATACATTCGTTATACTCTTGTAATGTGGCTTTGACTGTCATACTTGTTTCGTATCGTGTAGAAGAGGAAGCATGTTCCCGTCAGTGTTTACTGGGAAGGTAAAACGATCATATTCGGTATTCAGTTTGAAATGTACACCGGTACCTGGACTTCAAAGCGACCTGACCTAAAGTCAAGTGGGATTACTTTTAAAAGCTTTAAAAGGATTTTCCAAGTTGTAAATCGTGCAGCTGTACAAATGTTAGTGACATGCTGTGCTAAAAAAAATGCTGTTTTGAAGCACAAAACTCTGCCAAACTTTTAAATGAACACAATTGAAGTGTAAGCTTCTTTTAAGTTGGGAAGGTGAATTATTTTCGGCGGGCACATTATATTGAAAGCATTTGCCGCGTCATTTTAGGGTAGTTAGTTTTGGGGCTTATATAGGATGAGGCCGTTATAGTTTCCTAACGTTGGTCTACAGATAACAATTCCATCTTGGATCACTCCACAAACATGGCCGCAGTGTTTTGAAAGAGCTACAATTAGCCACAATACGCCATGCGTCCAAATCCCTTTTTTTTTGCGCGTACTTCGGCAGTGTGCAACAACGGTTAATTATTGAAAGGGCTGTGTGATCAAACAGCGCAGCACGCAAGAAGTGATATAGCGGCTGTTATCTGCGCCCTGCAGTGACGTGTGCAGTACTTTAGGACCCACGCACACTTTTAGCCACAGATTGTTCATGAAATCACTTTGTGGCTTAATGGATTCTAACGTGTATGTACAGAGGTTTCACGTCGCGTCACTGATGGTTGAGTCAATAAAACATTTAAACTCCATAAATAGCATCCCCATAGAGTCTCCACTGTGTGTGTGTGTGTGTGTGTGTGTGTGTGTGTGTGTGTGTGTGTGTGTGTGTGTGTGTGTACACACACCGTATTTTCTGCACTATAAGGCACAACTAAAAGCATTCAATTTTCTTCGACAGTGCGCCTTATAATCCGATGCGCCTTATATGTGGATCAATATTCTGATTTCTTGGACGTCGTATTTTAAATGTTCAGTCAAGCGCTTTGTGACAGCTGCAGCGGGTTGTGAAAGCGCACCATAAATAAAGCTGTATTGTATTGTATTCCCTTTAGCGTCACTCCATCTAGTGGATGAACAACGCAACTGCAATCACTATTGTAGCTTCTATTGTATGCGCCTTATAATGCGGTGTGCCGTATGTATGAAAACAGTTTTAAAATAGGCCGTTCATTGAAGGTGCGCCTTATAGTGCGGAAAATACCGTGTGTGTGTGTGTGTGTGTGTGTGTGTGTGTGTGTGCGCGTGCGTGTGTGTGCTTTGTAGACAGGTTCCACTTCACTCCACACACTCCCATCACCTTGTTTGTAATCCCCAATTAATCCCGCAGAGCCGAGGGAGTTTATCTAGGTGTGCCCTTTCGCTGGAACACTTAAACCAACCTTGACTGATTGTTGGTTATCGATTTAGAACCGAAAAAGAATTTTTAAAAAACGTGTGCTGGCCCAGCATGCGTATTACAGGGTTTGTTTAAAAAAAATTTTTTTTTAATGGATTTCGCAACGTTTTGGAATATGCTGTGTGGAATGAATTGCAGATGTCATCATTTTTTTTAGCAGTCATTGTAGTAGCAACCCACGAGACGCAGACGACCTCTTATATCTAAAGCACAACTACACTGATTTTAACCGATCTTAAAACCGTGCCAGACATGTGCGCAAGTCTCCCCACCTCAAACCAGACATCTGTCATGGTACCAAAGAGGCATCATAGTCCCACAGTGTATCTAAACTGTCATTAAATACAAAGAAGAAAAAGTAGTTGTGCAATAAGTGCCCATCTCTAATTTTGACAATAGGTGGTCAATAGGTTTGACTTCAGGTCCATTTTTTATTTTTTTTTTTAAATTCGATGGCTCTTGTGAATGTCTTAATGCCACCATGTTCTCTTTACGGTTTAGTTGGTACTGGGACAATAATTCCCAGTGAGTCTTGTCACACATGTGACTCGACATGGCGGCGGCAGCAGCGACAAACATCTTCCCCCAGGGCGGATGTGGAAACGCCAACGCGCAGGGCTGGCGTGGTGACCTTCAGGTTCGCCGCCATGCTTGTTCTTCTTTTGCATAAACAATTCATTCGCGGGAATAGAGATTGCGTCAACCACGAAAGCTGATCTGAAAAATTGCAAAAACAATCTTTCCGATTTCATGACCTTTGCGCGATCATCCGATCACCTCACTCCGCTGTTCTCATTCTGCACATATTGTGCCGCAATGCAAGATGACTGAAAGTCAAAGATGAGATTTCTGTCAATAGTGATTTGACATTGTGGCCAGCAATTGCGACACCGCC